CCATGTGCAGGCCTGTGTCCTTCAGAGGTCAGAAAGAGGGGGTGGATCTGCTAGGACCAGAATTATTGACAGTTGTGAGCTGCCATGTGAAGGCTGGAAATCTCCACAGCAGCAGTAAGTACTCTCAACTGCTGAGCCTGTCCAGTCCCTGCTCACTAGAAGTCTCAGGTGACTGCTGTTTCCAAAACCAAATAAATTAGTCTGCATCGTACAGCTGGTTTGCTATTAGTAAAACAATAAAATTTAAATGGCTGGTTTTTTTTAAAGGTCTTTGTGGCCCCATATTCAAAAGGGCCAATGACATAAGGAACCTAATCCATCATGCTTTGCATTTCAGCTAAGCAGTGGCAATGTCCTCTGTGGCTTTGTCTAGCTAATCCAAACAGTGAAACACCTGTCACACTTCCCTGGAACAGAGTCACTCCTGTCTATATGGCAACACAAACGCTGGGACTCTCATAACTTTAAATTCTCACCATCCAAACAAAACTACGGCAGTCTTAAGAGGAAAAGGCTGGCCCCTATTCATCTTAGTAGTAAATTTTTTTGTTGAATGTATCGTAAGAATGAGTCTAAGGGTCTCTCCCAAAGACCTTGCAAATAATCACCGAGACTGATTTGAAAACCCTATCAAATCATAAGTGATCTAAACAATTACATAGTCTAGAGAATAAGCTGACTTACCAGGTTAAACAGCAAACTGAAGTTCTCTCAATCCAGAAATCCACCCCTGACCCAGGGCAAGCATCACCCAGCACGGCCCAGTTGGTAACTCCATCCTCTTGAGAAAGCTTCATGATACAAATATTTGGTAAATCATTTACAATTCAAGCACAGGCAATGCTGCTAACATCTATTAACACACTGGAATACTATGCCCTTTTAAGTAGGACAGGACAATGTTTACGGCTGTGATCTCAGAACTCACTGTGTAACACCTTCAGAGGAGTAGCTGAAAGCAATCTAGCACTCAGAAGGCAGAGGCAGGCAAATATCTGAGTTGGAGTCCAGCCAGGACTACGTGAGAGCCAGCCCTCCCTGCAAAAATATTTTTAAAGCTGCAAGATTCCTATCTCCTGTTTTCAATACTTGATAATAGGCAAACTGCTTAAGTCATGAACCTGTAGCCTGATACAACAGAGATAACAGGAGCTCTTCATAGAATGACTGAGGACTGAAACCAGAAATAACACACACGAACAATTACTTCTTAGGCCTTCAAGGAACTTTTTGTCGGTGGTGGGGTGGGGTGGGGGATCATCTTTCACTTTGAAGAGAGCAGGAAAGAGCACCTCAAGTTCATCTGCAATGGGACCCTGAGGAGAAAAACGTCCCCACCTAGCCCGGTAGTGGCTGGTCCTTCCAAAAAGCCCAAAGGGCATGTATCTGTAATCCAAGTAAAGATGCTCAGGAATTCAGGGCAGCCTGGTCTACATGGCAAGTCTCGAGCCAGCTAGGGACACACACCAAGAAAAGAAAGTAGGTGGGGAGCAAACTAGGCCAAAATAAGGTGGAGAGATTTTTCCATATTACACTGACACTGGAATTGGAAGAAACTTTTTTTTTTTTTTTTTTGGTTTTTCGAGACAAGGTCTCTCTGTGGAGCCCTGGCTGTCCTGGAACTCACTCTGTAGACCAGGCTGGCCTCGAACTCAGAAATCCGCCTGCCTCTGCCTCCCAAGTGCTGGGAGTAAAGGCGTGCACCACCACCGCCCGGCTGGAAGAAACTTTCAAGTGTGGACGTTACACAGGTCACACCCATACACTAGCTAAAGGCAGGCATGCTCAAACCACGCACACTCCAAAGTACACTTTCAACTGGCAGACGCGCAGCAAACAACCTAAAATACAAGTGATCCAACTTAAGAGTGTAAGCAACAAGGTCTGCAAACCGACTCTCGTCACTTGTCTTGAGGCAAGGAATCCTAAATTCCAAATTCTCAACCAACCTCCAGCTGTCTTCCCTAAAAATCAGAATCCACATCATTAGTATATCAGTATCAGCACATTCAAGTCATACTTGATAGCGCCTTATGAGTCTAAATCACTTTATAAATCTTTATAAAGTCTTAAAATTCTGGAGTCTGGAGATGGCTCAGCTTTTGAAGGGGACCCCACATCTAGGAAGTCAGTCACCGGCTCCAAGAGATTTAATACCCTCTTCTAGACTCTGCAGGAACCTGCATTCACACAATTTCCCTTTTTTTTTCAAAAATACACTAAAAAAACATTATTACCATCTTTAAAGATATCCCAGGTCTGTCAAAAATGGCTCAACTGGTAAAGGCACTTACAGATAGATCCCCAAACCTAAAAGGCAGGAGAGCAAACTTGCAAAGTGTCCTCTGGCCTCTTGTGTGAAAGGCACACACTCACACAGGCACACAAAAATCAATGTAAGGCTTTGTCACACTATCTTTTAACCAATGATGACCTTAGAACTTACACTCTCTGAAAAACAAAGAGCTTCACACTGGGACAATTTCATCTTGAAAAACCAGAAAATATCGAAGCATGAAAAAGTATCCTCAAAGTAGAGGTGGACTCTCACCTCCTCCTGTCACCTAGGTTTCAAGTGCTCCATTCAGGTTCTCACAGGGGAATCAAGACATCAAACAGCTGTCCACCCATTTATACAGCTTCACATGCCAAAGGCTGCTAGGGAAAACACAGGAAGTGCTTACAGAAATATTACCATTTTCCTTTCCTACTATTCAATTCCATTCACCTCTACGGGTGAATACTGAACGCTGAGTTGTGAATATGCCAGGATCTCAGAATATGCTCTAACAGATCTTTAAGTCACTCACTACCTTTTTACAACTATTACTGAAAAACCGCCTCACGTGTGACAATCTTCCACAATACCTACCAGCTCAGTCTTTTCGTCCACAGTAGCCGAAAGTCAGAGGTAGCATGTAATTAGTTTTAGATCTTTTCCTGTACCCTCGGAACCCAAAAAGCCTGCATTAGATCTTCGAGTGGTTTCAAGCAGGAATTCCCAGGAAGCCAGCAATGGTAAAGTCCATCCAATCTTTGTTTCTGTATACAAACACATCTACACTGTTGGCTGTGTTAATATTTGAACCAAGCCATCAGCTATCCTTCACTAAACTGAGCAAACTAGCCTAACATTCATCCTCTTACCTCTTTAAGAGCCTTAGTAATTACATTATTTTGGCAAGAATCAGACCTTAGACATTATTCAGTGACAAATTAAAATGTGGGCATTCCAACATTATAATATTTTAAAATGTAAAAAGAAAAATCTTTTCCAAAAGTTTGATGCCATAAGGCTTTGGGCTTTCAAAACCCGAGTCAAATTTTTACCATACCGTTAAACCCAGTTAACTGGTGCTCTGAACCCACCCACCAGGTTATACATACTCTCACTCAATCATGTAAGAATTGAATTCTTTATTTGTGATATCCATAAACGTTGCTATTCTATGTTTCTATCCAGGAAGGCAATTTTCTCCTATTATCAGTTTTTGTTTTTTTTTTTTATAAACAACAACTTGAATTCTATTGCATGAAAGGCTACAAATACACGTTAACCAAGCAGAATACAGGTATTTTGTTTTACAACTTGCACCTAAAACCCCAGTACACACAGCTGCTTCAGTAGCGATCAGAGCAGTTTGGGGCGACTGCCCAAGCTATGCATAGCAGTTTACAGTCAAATCTCAGGTAGGAAGTGACTGACGCGAGCTATTAACTACACTCCTGGAAAGCCCGTCTCAGCTACAAGGAAATGTGGACCTTCCAAGTCTGCAGACCTCTGATGACAACTGATAGATCTGAACAAATTGTCCTAACAAGTTGTTTTTAAACCAACCGTCTTGCAGCTATACTGCACTCTACCAGCAGATGGTGCTACATCCGCTGGACTTAAAAGAGGACAAAGTTCAGACTTAGGGAAGAAACGTTTTTTCTAAACCTGCTCTGAAAATACATTTTAGAAAACTCATTTAGTGTTAGGGTAAAATAGAACCCTTATTTGTAACCATTCATTACAGACAAACCCATAAAGATGAAACTAGGTCATCTAAAAAAGTTTTAAACAGTTTATATGAATGAGAACACATGCTTTAAACACAAACTATTTCTTTTAAAACTACATAGTACATATTTTGAAGTAAATTCTCATAGAAAGAAGAACCAACCATGTCAAGATGATAAGCAAATCGCCTATTACAAAGAGATGGATGCACGGAAACTAAACAGCCACATCCACCACTTCAGAAAGGTTTTGTGTGTAAAAGGTAAATTCAACACATCGCTAACTGGGCAAACAGGAAGGGGGGGGACCCACTAGACCTCCTTTAAGCTTCTCGAAGTACACATCAAAACCTAACAAAAATCCTTTAAAACGGTAAGGAGTGGATCCTAGAAAAAAAAAATGTTAGACATGTACGGTCAAACACAATGATTTATTAAAAATAAAACGTAAAAATGATTTTTGTACATATGCTTCCAAATTTCAGGCATGGGACCCAAGTAGGTTTCATAGAAAACGCCGTAGCCAGGTATCAAGTCCTCACAACAAAGTAAACTACCCTCCCGCCCAGCCCCACCCGGGTTTGCTACAGAATCAGCAAGTTCACTCCCGCCCACCCGCCCGCCCGCCCGCCCG